ATGGCCTGAGTTAGGCGCTCAACTCGCAATCAAGGGTCGCGGGTTCGAATCCCCGTCACCGAACATGTTCTGAGGAGCTGGCATGGCCTGGAGGTTAGGGCGCTCAACTCGCAATCAGGGGTCGCGGGTTCGAATCCCCGTCACCGAACATGTTCTGAGGAGCTGGCATGGCCTGGAGGTTAGGGCGCTCAACTCGCAATCAAGGGTCGCGGGTTCGAATCCCCGTCACCGAACATGCTCGCCCTTTTAGACGTGGGGAGAATTATAAAGAGACGGTCAATTCCACTATTTCTTGGTAAAAGAGTAGTCCAAGAGTTGGCGGTGTTGACTACCTGTCTTTCTTCTAGTCTATCAATACTAAATTAGGGACAGGTAGCGCAGATTTTGCGCGAAATTCGAAACAAGCAAAATATGTTCTGACTATAAAAAAACAAACAAACTTGGAAATATAAACTAATCCTCCCTAACTGAAACGAGTTGAACTAAAAACGACTTGAAACTGTAGTGAACTGAATTTCTGCTTTTTACCACAACATTGATTCTTTAAAACCAATTACAGTAAACACAAAAACCTTATTTTCACGAACATTAGTACTTTTGATAATATAAATAGTGTCTGAACCACTATTATTTCTGTCCAGCTAAAAACCGGCTTTCGATACTCGTAGTGGGCACTGCACAGATAGCCCTTTGTGTAGTTTATGCTTAAGTTCCGGCCGATGAAACACGGTATTGAGCGAAAGGCCTCAACGGCACTGGACTACCGTACTAATTATTTCATTTCCCAATTGGTGACAAGCGACAGCTTGAAATTCTTCAAGATTTAAGCAATTCACAATGAACAGTGTTTATCAATACATTAGTACTAGATTTCCTCACTAGATGGCGCCAACTTATAGTTTGTATGTTGATTATCTTTAATAGCCGTCCCTAATTTTGAAGTGATAGACTAGACTGAAGGCAGTTAGTCAATACTACCAACAGTCAACTCTTGGACTACATCTTTACCATTAGAACGCCCCCAGGAAGGACAAGACGAGCATGTTCGGCGACGGGTTTCGATCTGGAGATTGCGAGTTGATCGACCTAACCACATGGTTATGCCAGATCCCCATCCACCCCACCCCACCCCACTCGTGGTAAAAGAGAGGAAACGTAGCATGCGATTAAGTGTTATATCAAAACAAAAAAATTAATACAAAACTGTATCTCTAATCACGACAACAGAGGTCGCAACAAACGTTTTTGTATGTTGACTGCAATTTACTATGGGCGTTTACCAGATTTACTGTTCAGCTTTATAGTTCAACCATTTTTAGACCAGTTTGTCAGCTTATTTTTTTCACTTGAATCGTTCAAGGCTTTCTCTTATCTTGCTCTACGTTCCAGTAAGTTGTGTTTTCTATCAAGCACTGAATTACGAGAAATATTTCCTCAACTAGAAAAAGAGAAATAAAAACTCAAGCGCTCGTGACTTTAGGTTTCCGCCACCTAGTTTACTGCTAACCAGAGAACATACACAACAAAAACTGAGAGTATATAACTTCTAACACGTGGTAAGCTATTTATTGACAAGTTTAAATGACAAATTATCTATGTATTTCTAAGAATTAGGCTTAAGTTGTCATTCCCATTATAAGTTAATGAATACTCCGCTAATACAGAATGAATTGAAAAGATACAACTGACATGTTGAATACGTTTCTTAGAAAACATAATACAGGTTTTCGTTTGTTTCAAAATTTCGTGTAACGCTTCACAAGCGTTATCTGGACACAGCCGTACTGCAGAAGCGCTATCTGGACACAGCCGTACTGCACGAGCGTTTTAGGGTTATATTCGATAGCCATCCCTAATTTTCAACTGATAGAAGAAAGGCAGCTAGGTGTTCGTGTTTTCTGTTAACGCAAAGCTACAAAATGGGTTATCTGTCCACCGCAGGAAATCGAACCCCGGATTTCTGCGTTGTAAGTCATAAATGTACCACTGACTCAATGGGAGACAGGCAGCTGGTCAACAACATTCGCAGCCAAGTCTTAGGTTGCTTTTGTCTGGATGAATATTTGACCGTTACTCCTGTAGTATAGTGGGGTTGACCATCACCCTGTAACGTCTCCACGGCTGAAAGGTCGAGTATGTTCGGTGTCGGAAATTCGAATTCGTGACCCGCGAGTTGAGAGCCTTAACCCACTGGTTCCCAAAGTGCAAGATATTTTTTTTTTTATGTGTTTGTTTTTCTTTTTTTCGGTAGCAAAC